ATACTCCAGCATGATTCCCTAATACATACAGACATTTTTTAAGAACTTCAAACAGTACAAAGCCTTAATTATAACTAACAAAACTAATAGTAACCCCTTAAAATTATCTAATGCCAAGCTCAATTTTATCCAATTGCCTTAATATCTTTACTTTCTGTTTTATAAAGACCTATGAGAGAATGCTGAGAGATTTTCCAACTCTTTTTCTTAACTTATTTATTTATTTTAATTTGACCAGAGAGGAGAAAGAGAAAGAGAGAGAGAGAGAAGGGGGGGGTAAGTCACCAGGCCTGGGACTCGAACTCTTGAACTGTAGTCAGCCATGTGGGAGTCTAGCACCCTTAACCACCACACCACCTGCTGGCCCTTGATAATATCATGGTTGATGATACTATAGTTTTCATGGTTAACTTATCTGAATTGGATTTTTTAAAAAATTGCCAGATGATGCATACACTCAGCAGAGAGAAAGAGGGAGGGAGAAAACATACCTATGGGGTGTGGTCACAATCTCTTCTCCTCCATCTCTCCCTCCTTTAGGCAGGTACCCCTGATGTGTTTTTCAAGTCACCAGATCTGAAACTCAAGCCATGCAGTTGGCTGTGTTGAACCCAGCTCCCTTAACTCCTAGGACCTGAGCTGGCCCTTGAATAGGATTTTCTTTCCTTTTATTTAGGTTTCTGGCATAGGGCATGTGCACTCACCAGAGAGAGAGAGAAGAAGGAAAGTGAGACACCACCCTCTAGGTCGGATGGCCATGCTGCAATCCTTTATCTTCCTCACTCCTCCTTAGATTTTGGGCACATGCGCACATATGCCTGGCATGATTTTTACACAGCTGGGTCCACGACTCAAATTGCAGTTGGCCATACGGGAGTCCAGCATCTTAACCACCACACCACCTGCTGGTCCTTGAATTGGATTTTTTTAAAAAATAATTACTTTTTAATTTAATTTTATTTGTTCATTTACTCTTAATTTGAGCAGAGAAAGACACAGAGAGATAGAGAGAGAGAGGGAAACTTAGAAAGCAAGTCACCAGGTCTGGGACTCAAACTGGGGTCAGCCATGTGGGAGTGTCCAGCACCTTAGCCACCACGCCACCTGTTGGTCCCTTGAATAGGATTTTTAAAAAGACTGTGTGTATTTCATTGGTATGTTTACTTAATCTGTAACAGTTTTTCTCCTCCCCCCCCTTTTTTTTTTGATGAGGTTTCTGCTATAGGGAGTGTATGCTCGCCAGAGAGACAGAGAGAGACAGACAGACAGAAAGCGAGAAATCACTCCCCGGGGGATGGCCATGCCGCAATCCCTTCTTCTCCATTCTCCTCTCGGGATCTTGGGCACTCACACACACGCACCCAGCGTGAGTTTAAGTCACCAGATTCGAGACTTGAACCGTGGTCAACTACATGGGATTCCAGTGACATAGCCATTATGCCAACTGCTGGCCCAGTAATTTTTTTTTTTTTTTTAAAAAGGAAGAAAAACTGGGACCAGCAATTGGCATAATGGCTATGTCACTGGAATCCCATGTAGGTTAAAGTGCTGGATCACACATGGTCCTGGACCTAGAGGCTTGAAAATCATGCCAGGTGTGTGTGCACGCATGCCCAAAATCCTGAGAGGAGACAGGATTGCAGCATAACCCCTAGGGGATGATTCATTTTCCCTCTTTTTCTGATGAACGTAAGTGCCCCACAGCAAAAAGGGAGGAAAATTATTTATTGTAGAAATTGGGTCATTTGTCCTCAAAGTTTTTTCTCATTCTAGATTTGGTTAACAGTATCCTCTATGTGTCATGTAACATGTTCCTCCATTTGTATCTCCTGTAAACTGATAGTCCAAAGTCTTGATTAGATTCAAGTTCAAGTTCTCTTGTTAAGAATACTTCATAGGTGGTGCTGCATACTTCTTATTGCATCATATCAGCAGGGACATACTGTCTGGCTGTCCTACTTTTAGTGATGTTACGATTGATCATTGGGTTTAGGTGAGGACAGGACAGACTAATCTATCATAAATTCTCCATTAAGTTTTTCACCGAATAATCTGAATAATCATTGATCATTATGGTTTCGGGATTTTTTAAAAGAATTATTTATTTAATTCCATTTGCTGTTATTATTTTTTAAAAGAATTATTTTATTTAACTTCATTTATTTATTTTAATTTTGACCAGAGAGGAACAGAGCAAGAGAGAGCAAAAGCAAAAGCGAGGGGGAGCGGTGGGGAAAGTGAGAAAGCAAGCTGCCAGTGCTAGGACTCAAACCGCAGTCGGCCATGTGGGAGTCCAGCGCCCTTAACCATCATGCCACCTGCCAGCCCTCCATTTGTTATTATTATTTAATTTGACCAGAGAGAGACAGAGATAGAGAAAGCAAGTCCCCAGGACCGGGACTCGAGCCGTGGTTGGCCATGTGGGAATCCAGCACTTTTAATCACCACACCACCTGCCAGCCCCAGGCTTTGAGATTTTGACACTGTCTTTCTTATTTTTTATTTTTTTAAGAAATTAATTTTGACCAGGACTTTAAAAAAATTATTCTTTATTTATTGATTCATTGATTTTAATTTGACCAGAGAGAGACAGAGTGAGAGACAGAAAGAGAGAGAGAGAGAGGGAAAGTGAGAAAGCAAGCCATCAGGTCCAGGATTGGAACCCATGGTTGGCCATGTAGGAGTGTCCAGCGCCTTAACCTCCATGCCACCTGGTGGTCCCTACACTATCTCTTTAATCTTTGTTTTTATTTTTTAAGATTATTTTATCTAACTTTATTTCTTTATTTGTTTTTTAATTTGAGTAGAGAGGGAAAGAACGAGCAAGCGAGTGAGAGAGAGAGAAAGTGAGACAACAAGCCACCAGGTCCAGGACTCAAATCACGGTCGGCTGTGTGGTAATCCAGCATTCTTAACCACCAGACCACCTGCCATCCCCTCTTTTTTTAAACTCTATTTATTTATTTATTTATTTTAATCTGACCAGAGAGGGACAGAGTGAGAGAGAGATAGAGGGAAAGTGAGAAAGCAAGCTGCTAGGTTCAGGTCTTGAACCACAGTCTGCCATTGTGAGAGTCCAGCCCCCTTGACCACCATGTCACCTGCTGGCCCCTATCTCTTTAATCTCCCCCCTGCACCCCCAGAAGTTTTTGCTACAGGGCATGTGCGCTCGCCAAACAGGGGGAGAGAGCCAGAGAGACAGAAAGCGAGAAATCACCCCCCAGGGAGGATGGCCACGCCGCAATCCCTTCTCCTCCGTTCTCCTTTCGGGATCTTGGGCACGCATGCACACGTGCCTGGCGTGAGTTTTAAGCCACCAGGTCTGGGACGTGAACCACAGTCAACTACATGGGAGTCCAGAGACATAGCCATTACACTAATTGCTGGTCCCCTATCTCTTTAATCTTAGAAAATAAGTTGTGTGTAGAAAAAACAGCTCAATGAATGTAGGAGTCCAAAGAATTAACCTTAACACAAAGAAGATAAATCATCCCCCCTCACCTTTGGAATTCACTTTTACATATATTCATTAAATATCCTATTTATTTCCAAGCACCTAGTCCTAGCCTCTTGGAGTAAATGAGTCATGTGAGTATCAATAATATATGTATGAAATGCCAAGAGAACCCAGATGTAGGGGTAAATAATTTTGTTCACAGGACCTATAGAAAGTGACGTTTGAACTAAAATGCTTGAGGATGAGCTGGGAATCTCTACCTTAATTCCACTGTGCTCTCCCTCTGCATTTGTTTCTAATCATATATATCTTCTTCTGGTTTCTGAAAACTACTAAAGTTTTTTCCTCCTTCAAGATTTTCATACTTTTTCTTTGGCCACCACTCACTGGTTAGTTCAATTAGTATATCTTCTTCCTCAGTGGGGCTTTTCTTTTCTTTTAAATTTCCCAATTCTCCCTTATTTTCCCCAGATCATCCTTGTTAACTTCTTTACATCACAGTCACAGTTTGCAATTGCATATCTATTTTGTGTGTGGGATTATTTGTCTTGTCTCCTGGAGTAGAGTACAAGCTACATGAGAGCAGACTGGTGTGTACCATGACATTCAGTGCTTTGTACAGTGCCAAGAACACAGTAAACACTAAATAAATACTTGCTAAAGAAAAAGAGGAATATCAGCAGCAGGCTGACTCCTCTGAGCACCCAGTTGGCCTAATTTCTGCCATCACTTTGCCACCCCAGAATGACTCAGGTAGAGTCCAAACCAGCCCAGTGCCCAGAGCAACTGTCATTTCCTCTGAAATATTTCTGATCCTCCTCAATGACCTGGTTCAGGGAAATAGACATATAAGCTCTTCTGAGTAGAATTAGGGAACCTATCAGAGGCTCCCTGCAGGAATGTTACCTTGGGTGTTTTGAGCACAAATTTCTGTTTGTTTTCATCGGGGCCCAGCTGTGCCTTCAGTTTCAGGAGTTTTGCCACTTCTTCCTCGATCTGTGGAGGGAAAGAAGGGACTGAGCTACTTCCCAGACTTGCCTGTCATTTTCCTCCCTCTCCCGCCATTCATTCAATATCCCTCCCTTATCAGGATCTGGGGCAGATTTTTTTGTCCAAGTCTACCTTTGTTTCTCTAGAAATCAATCCCTGATACCTCCCTATCCAGCCCATCCTCCTCCAGTACTCACCCCATCCCTTCCCCCACATCCATGTCCTCGGTCCAGACCTCCCCCGTTTTCTGTTTTTCCGGGCTTTTCCTTGACCCCTCTTTTGCGGCCTAGGTCGCACCTGCTCGGCGCTGGCCTTCTGCTGCTTGAGGCCCCGCACACGCTCTCCCTGAAGTCGCACCAGCTCCTCCAGCGCCGCACGCTCTGCCATCCCGGTTACCAGCTGGAGCTGATGGCTGTCTAGACCTGTGCGGATGCCTTCAGCTTCAGCCTGGATGACTTCCGACTATCGAGTCTCTGGCCTGTACATGTAGAGCGTCTCCGCCCAGCACAAACCACGTCCGGCTCCTACCGGAAGTGCCGGCGTCAGCTCCTGAAGGACCCTGGGAAGGCTGGATTCCAGCCTGTTGTAATGGTGGGAATCGCGGAAGTTCGATTTTATCCTGGTGATTAAGCTTCGCCTCTACATCACCTTGCACCCTTTTTGGGGGTACGGACAGTTTCGTACCTAGGACTTTGGCTCTTGTCCCGGAAAGCCCGTGCCCAGCCTCACGATGCCCCAGTTCAGACTCCTGCCCAGGAAGGCCTGGGCTGCGCTGCTTACCCAGCTCCTGCAACCTCCCCGCGCAGCGAGCACCGGGGCAGTCCATTGTCATAGCCAGGTGAGCCAGACTGGGATAGCTCCGGCCTGCCGTTTCGGGAGCAGGGCCTCCAGGTCTGAAACTATAGATTCGCTCAGGCCTTAACGCTAGTATTATTGTCGGTTTTTATTGAGTTCCCGCTGGGTGCCAGCACTGAATTGAGCGTTTTGCATGGTTTGTCATTTAATCCTTGGATCAGTTGAGTGGTTGGGAGTTTTATTTACATTTTACAGTTGAGGAAACTGAGGCTGCAAGGTTAAATGACATTATCTTCAGATACATAGTTAAAGAAGTATTTTACTATTTTTTTTTTTGGAGAGGTTTTCGCTATAGGGCGTGTGCGCTCGCCAGACAGACAGACAGAGAGACAGAGAGAAAGCGAGAAATCACCCCCCAGAGGGGATGGTCACGCGGCAATCCCTTCTCCCCCATTCTCTTCTTGGGATCTTGGACATGCACGCACACGCGCCTGGCGTGAGTTTAAGCCACTGGGTCCGGGAGGCAAAGCGGGGTCAACTACGTGGGAGTCCTGCCACATAGCCATTACGCCAACTGCTGGTTCCCAAGTTAAAGAAGTATTTTAATAAGGAGCCACACTCCTTTATCTAAATTTTTTTTTTTTTTTGAGAGGTTTTCGCTATAGGGCGCCGTGCGCTCGCCAGACAGAGACAGAGACAGAAAGCGAGAAATCACCCCCCAGAGGGGATGGCCACGCTGCAATCCCTTCTCCTCCATCCTCCTCTCGGGATCTTGGGCACGCATGTACACGCACCTGGCGTGATTTTAAGCCACTGGGTCTGGGACACAAACTGCGGTCGACTACGTGGGAGTCCAGCGACATAGCCATTACGCTAACTGCTGGTTCCCTATCTAAATTCTTGAAGTCACACATCACTATTTCTGAAGCAAAATACATGAATAGCCTCATTAAATTAGATGACTATTAACTATGACTGAGTTCACATTTGAACTTAACTCAAAATGAATCTCAAAAAATTTTTAATTTTTCAGTTTTGCAGATGAGGGATTGTGGACCTGAACTTGGATTTTTCTTGGGGAGGGAATGGCTAGTTTTGAACTACCATACCTTCTATTTCTTGAAGGGTATACAGCTTCTGAGAATAAAGTCACTAATTCTGTTTTACCTTACCTGGGAAAGACTCTAATACCCTCTTAGCACATGTTTTGTGATATCAGGGTTCAAGTCTCTTAGTAAATTTTAGACACAGCATGGTATGTGTTGGGTTTTTCTTTTTCTTATATTTTTATTTATTTTATTTTATTTTTATTGATAGGTTTTTGCTATAGGGCGCGTGCACTCGCCAGACAGAGACAGAGAGACAGAAAGCGAGAAATCACCCCCCAGGGGGGATGGTCACACCGCAATCCCTTCTCCTCCCTTCTCCTCTCGGGATCTTGGGCACGCACTCACACGCGCCCGGCGTGAGTTAAGCCACTGGGTCTGGGACTCGAACCGCAGTCGACTATGTGGGAGTCGACTACGTGGGAGTTCAGCGACATAGCCATTATGCTAACTGCTGGTTCCCTTTTTCTTATATTTTTTTAAGAGACATTTTTGCTATAGGGTATATGCACTCACCAGAGAGACAGAAAGCAAGAGATCACCCCCCAGGGAAGATGGCCACGCTGCAATCCCTTATCCTCCATTCTCCTCTTGGGATCTTGGGCACGCGCTCATGTGTGCCTGGTGTGAATTTTAAGCCACTGGGTCCAGGACTTGAATCTCGGTTGACTACATGAGTCTAGTGACATAACCATTATGCCATCTGCTGGTCACAATGGGTTTTTCATTTTAATAAGAAAATCTGTTTGTTTTCATTCCATAGAGTTGTTCTCTGCCTTTGTCCTTGGGTTGATTCTCTTCTGTCTTGAAGTTACATTTTTCCTATCTCCAAGCCTGAAAACTAGTGTTATCTTACTAAACATTCTTATTTTTGCTCTTTATGTAGGAACTGAGAACTAGAGAAGACTGAACTATTCCCTACTTCTGAGTGGTTGTGGTGGTAGTAGTGGGTTGTTGTGTTCTTTTGTTGTTCTCAGGTGCTTAAATTTTTTTCAAATGTTTAAGAACTCCAGATATGGGGGCCAGCAGGTAGCGTAATGGCTATGTTGCTGAACTCCCATGTAGTCGACTGCGGTTCAAGTCCTGGACCCAGTGGCTTAAATTCACGCCGGGCGCTTGTGTGTGCGCACGCCCAAGATCCCGAGAGGAGAATGGAGGAGAAGGGATTGAGGTATGGCCATCCCCCCTGGGGGGTGAGTTCTCACTTTCTATCTCTGTTTCTCTCTGTCTTTCTGGTGAGCACACATGCCCTATAGCCAAAACAAAACAAAAAAACCCTCCAGTTATGGTGAGGTAGATTGTAAGGTGAAGACCTGACGTCAACAATATTACATGTACAACATGGTTTTTAGGGGCTGAGTTTTGGATAGCTGATATGGTGCTCAGGCTTCCTGTTGCTCAGGTCAAGGGTCTTTGCACGTAGTTGGCCTCAGGGTTAAAGATATCACCACTCTAGCCATTGTTCACAGGAGCCACAGCTCACATTTTTTTCTTCTCCCAGGTTGCAGAGGCAGTATTACCATCCCAACTGAAACCACATCAAGAAAAAACTAATTTTATTATCAAGACCCCAAAGGTAATGCCCTTTGCCTACCCTATCCCATTACAGTGTATTGGAAGATTGACCTCTGGTTTGCTTGTCCTTTTGACCTCTTTTAATGTCCTTTTAAACTAGTTTTTGCCATAGTGTGTGTGTACATGTAGGAGAGAGAGAAAGTGCAAAATAACCCCTCAGGTGCAATCCCTTCTCCATTCTCTTCTTGGGATTTTGGGCATGCATGCACATGTGTCCAGCATATTTTTCCTTCTGGGTCTGGGACTTGTACCACACAGTTGGCTATGTGGGATCCAGCCACCTGAACCACAGTGCCACTGGCTAGCTCAAACTAATTTTTTTTTAAAAAGCAACTTTACTATTTTTTTTTTAAGAATTATTTTATTTAATTTTACTTTTTATTATTTTTAAATTTGACCAGAGAGAGAGAGAAAGTGGGAAGGCAAGGCACTAGGCTTGGTACTCGAACTTTGGTCAGCGGTGTGGGAGTCCAGTGCTTTAACCACCACACCGCCTGTTGGCCCTACAACTTTATTTTTCTTGAGATACTGGGTGGGTCTCAGTCATCTGAACTCAAATTTCAGCTCTGGATTTTAGATTAAGGATAGAGTTTAACTGTGTTTCAAATGATCTTGTGTTCTGTTTTTGTTTTCACTGTGGCTAATTTTGGTTTCCAGGGCACCAGGGATCTTAGTCCCCAGCAGATGGTTGTGAGGGAGAAAATTCTTGATACTGTTGTCAGCTGCTTTAAACGTCATGGAGCCAAGGGATTAGACACCCCAGCATTTGAGCTAACGGTAAGTAAAGAAAGAGTGCCTGGAACCCCATTTGTTTACCTGCCCTCAACTTCCAAAGAGCTTCTGAAATGCGTTCTGGACTTACCCATTGAAGTGCAGCTTTTTCTTTTTGACCCCTACAGGAAGTGCTTACTGAGAAGTATGGAGAGGACTCTGGGCTTATCTATGATTTGAAAGATCAAGGTGGAGAGCTGTTATCTCTTCGCTATGACCTTACTGTATCCTTCTGAGTGCTAGAGACTGACTTATCTCCTTCCAAATCCAGACAGAAGCGGGGAGAATGATGCTGGGGCCTTGTATGTCCACTGGCAATAACCTTTATGTCCATTTTCTCTTAAAAGGCAATTTTGCCAGCAGAACCTGGCCTGCAGTTCTATCACTTAACTTTAATGTGTATCAGAATCCCTTGGGATAGTTGCAGAAACAGAATTTTGATCCTAACTCCAGAGATTCTTAATTCTGTACCTGCAAGAAATTGAACCATTTGTATTTAGAAAAATTAATTTGTCAGAGGGCACATGCACTGACTGGAGAGAGATTGAGAGAAAATGAGAAAACACTCCCTCCAAGGGGGATGACCATGCTGCAGTCCCTTCTCTGTTCTCCTTGGGATTTTGGACACGCACATATATGTTCTTGGTGTGTTTTTCTTTTAATTTTTTTTTGGAGAATTTTTTGCTATAGGGTGCGTGTGCTCGCCAGAAAGAAAGAGAGACAGAAAGTGAGAAATCACCCCCCTCCCTGGGGGGGATAGCCAGGCTGCAATCTCTTCTCCTTCATTCTCCTCTTGGGATCTTGGGCAAGTGTGCACACGTGCCCAGCGTGAGTTTAAGCCACCAGGTCCAGGACTCGAACTGTGGTCGACTACCTGGGAGTCCAGCTACATAGGTGTTATGCCAACTGCTGGTCCTGCCGGTGTGTTTTTTAAGCCACTGGATCCAGGACTCAAACTGCACAGTCTGCTCTGCGATCTAACTGCCTTAACACCAGAATATCTGGCTGCTTCTATCCTTTTTTATTTATTGATTTTTTGGAGAGATTTTTGCTATAGGGCGCATGTGCTCACTTGGAAACACAGAGAATGATAGACAGTGAGAAATCATTTCCCAGGGGGATGACCATGCCACAATCCTGTCTCTTCCATTCTCCTCTTGGGATCTTGGGTACACTTGCACACGTGCCTGGCGTGAGTTTAAGCTGCCGGGTCTGGGACTCAAACCACAGTCGATTACGTGGGAGTTCAGCGACATAACCATTAAGCCATCTGCTAGTCCCACCCACTTTTTTTTTTTTTTAACTGCGTACCTTGCTGGAGAGAGAGTGTGAAAAATCACTCCCCAGGGAAGATGGCTATGTCACAGTCTCTTCTCCTTCATTCTTCTCTTGAGATTTTGGGCACGCATACACACCCTATGTGTTTCTCAAGCCGTGTGTCCAGTACTCAAACCACGTAGTTGGCCATGTGGGATCCAGCTGGCCCACCTGGCATGTTTTTCAAGCCACTGCATCTTGAACTTCACAGTTGGCCATGTGATCTAATGTGGGATCAAGCTGCCTTATCGACTGTCTCAATCTGCATGTTAAACAGGCAGTTGGGAAATTAAGATGCATATCAGGGCTGGATATTGGCACCCTGGTAACATGCAGTACTCGGTGAGGCTGACCCATATTCCGGGTTTGAATCCAGAGACCTCTGCATACACCAGGCATGCCTGTGCCATGTTTTTAGGGCTGGCTGAAGCTGCAGTTAGATTGCAGTATCAAGACCTTGTTGGGGCTGGGGCCAGCAGGTGGCATGGTGGTTAACGATGCCAGACTCCCACATGGCTGACCGGGATTCGAGTCCCAGACCAGGTGGCTTGCTTTCTCACTTCCCCCCTCTCTCTCCCTGTCCCTCTCTGGTCAAATTTAAATAAATAAATAAAGTTGAATAAAATAATTCTTTTTAAAAATTATTTATTTAATTTTATTTACTCATTCTTTTATTTTAATTTGACCAGACACACACACACACACACACACACACACACACACAGAAAGTGAGAGAGAGAGGGAGAAACCAAGCCACCAGGTCTAAGAGTTGCACCTTGGTCAGCCATGTGGGAGAATCCAGTGCCTAAACCACCACTCTACCTGCTGGTCCCAAATAAAATAATTCTTAAAGAGAAAAAAAGACCCTGTTGGGGTTGTACATACTCTCTCTCTAACTGATGGAAGAAATAAACTTTAAAAATATGCATTTTATCCTTGGCCTACACTTTTGAGATACACAGGCTTATAAATTGTATATAAATGAAGCTTCTGAAGCTCGGCTATTTTAAAATCATTAGGAGTGGATCTGAATGGAAGGGAATAGCCAAGACCGGAAGTTCTTAGACCATTTTCTATCTTTGGTACCTCTGCTTTTTGATGAACTTTCAGTTTTCCTAGGTGAGATTTCTTCGTTTGACACTGTGCAGTATATATCGAATGCCAAGCACTGCTAGGTTTTGAGGATAGTGAGGAAATAAGACTGCAAAAGTCACTGTTCTCATCCTGGTGCATGAGGTCTAACAAATAGAGGACCAGTCCTCCCTAATATGTGTGTACTGGTCTAAACTTTGAATGCAGTATCTTTGTTCTTTAACCTATTCATGTGAGGTCCCTTTTGCTCGTTACCTGGCCATGAATAAAGTGAAGAAGATGAAACGCTACCATGTTGGAAAGGTGTGGCGGCGGGAGAACCCAACCATAGTCCAAGGCCGCTACAGAGAGTTCTGCCAGTGTGTAAGTGACCTGACGGGACAGCACTGTGACAGAGCCTTGGGCATTGGCAGACGAGTGGAAGGTTTTGTTTTGTCTTTCTCTTTGCTGTAGGATTTTGACATTGCTGGTCAGTTTGACCCTATGATCCCTGATGCAGAATGTTTGAAGATCATGTGTGAAATTCTAAGTGGGTTGCAGCTGGGGGACTTTCTCATTAAGGTGAGACTAGGGCTGAGGACTGGGATAAGTCTGTATTTAGCCTGCTGTTTATTTATACAACTCCCAAAACATAGGTGACTCCAGCCTTTAAACTTGCAACTCTAGGGCTTCCTCGGTATAACTGTTATATCATGTGCACATGTGTACACGTGTACACACACACACACACACACACACACGCATATATAACCACATGCCTGTGAGATTTCTTTTCTGTCCCTCTTTTTTCCTTTTTGGAGATATTTTTGCTATAGGGCACGTACACTCACCAGAAAGACACAGAGAGAGAGAGACAGATAGAAAGTAAGATATCACCCCTTGGGGGGGTTGGCCACGCTGCAATCCCTTCTCCTCCATTCTCCTCTCAGGATCTTGGGTATGCACACACGCGCGCCTGGTGTGAGTTTAAGCCACCGGCTATAGGACTCGAACTGCGGTCGACTACATGGGAGTCCAGTGACGTGGCCATTATGCCATCTGCTGGCCCTAATCCCTTTTATGAATCAAGAGACTAGGGATTGCTGTTGTTTTGAGGAAAAAGACATTGACAAGATCCTTGGATTACTTATGCTGAATTCAAAGGTTAACGACCGACGAATTGTGGATGGGATGTTTGCTGTCTGTGGTGTTCCTGAAAGCAAGATCCGGGCCATCTGTTCCTCAATAGACAAACTAGACAAGGTAACAAGACATGCTTCAGTAGACCATATGTGGGTTTCTGTCCTGCCCTCACATCCGTACTACTAGAGGAAAATAAGGAGATAGTGGCTGGAAGTGAACTGTGTATGGGAGGGTGACAAGGAGACATTCTGAAGCAAGGTTTGAGTTGTGTTGTAGGTAGGATTGTGCTGGATTTCTTTTCTTTTTTATTTTTTTGGTTATAGGGCATGTGCGCTTGGCCAGAGAGACAGAAAGTGAGAAATCACCCCCCAGGGGGATGACCATGCTGCAGTCCCATTTCTTCCATTCTTCTCTTGGGATCTTGGACATGCACACACACACCCAGCCTGAGTTTAAGCCTCCAGGACTGGGCCTCGAACCACAGTCACCTACATTGGAGTCCTGTGATGTAACCATTATGCCATCTGCTGGTCCCTGTGCTGGATTTCTTAAGCTGCCTGACTTTGCTGTCTATACTGTTAGCTTATTGTGACATGCATACTGAATAAAAGTGACATGTTCTTTTCCAGTTAGAGAAAGAAGTATATTGGGCTGGGCTAATGTTTGGGTTCCATGCAGATGTCTTGGAAAGATGTGAGACATGAGATGGTGGCAAAGAAAGACTTGGCTCCTGAAGTGGCTGATCGAATTGGGGACTATGTCCAATGTCATGGTAAGAATCAGTGTTTTCAGAGCTATGGTAGAATCGGGCTGAAGGTGACATATATTCAGCTTTTACCTCTGAAATAGCTCATTTCCATGCATGTACTAAGCTTCAGGGCCCAGTCTAAATTTAATTTCCCTGTGATTTAATGTAGCCCCTTTGTGTCTTCAGATGGCACAGGTAGAGGCAAAGGAGAAGGGTCTAGTCATATAGACCAGGATCATCATCATCATTTTTTTTCTTTTAAGAAAACGAGGAGTACAATTAGAGCACGTTAGAAATAAATTTGGATGAAACACGTATTTCTTTTTTCTCTACTTTTAAAAAATTTTTTTCTACTTTTCTTCCCAGGTGGGGTGTCCCTCGTAGAGCAAATGTTACAGGATCCCAGACTGTCCCAGAACAAGCAGGCCTTAAAGGGCTTGGGGGATCTGAAGCTGCTTTTCGAATATGTGACATTATTTGGAATCGCTGAAAAGGTAAGCTGAGTTGAGAATGGAAGTCCTGTTGTACTCTGGGGCTCTCAGGGTGCTAAGGCTAGTTTAGGACTGACTATGGCCTTGTCTTCACAGGTCTCCTTTGACCTCAGCCTGGCTCGGGGCCTAGACTACTATACTGGACTGATCTATGAAGCAGTGCTTCTACAGACCCCAGCTCAAGCTGGGGAACAGTCCCTGAATGTGGGCAGTGTGGCTGCTGGTGGGCGCTACGACGGGTTGGTGGGCATGTTTGACCCCAAGGGCTACAACGTGCCATGTGTGGGGCTCAGCATTGGGGTAGAGCGAATCTTCTACATTGTGGAGCAGAGAATGAAGGTATGTCCTAGGGATATGGTGGGGCTGCAGGCCTAAAAACCCTCTTGTTTCTGAAGGTGTAGTTGGACTGTTTTTTCCGATGATTCATTTTGAGTCTTTTTGAGATTACTGATGCAAACGAGGAAGTTTTTATTAGTTTTACTTTCTTCCCTTTTATCAGACTTTTGGTGAGAAGGTACGGACTACAGAGACCGAAGTGTTTGTGGCCACGCCACAGAAGAACTTTCTCCAAGAACGGTTGAAGCTAATTGCAGAGCTTTGGGATGCCGGGATCAAGGTATGGTAAAGCTGACACCTGAGCCATCTAGGTGTATGTGGAATTCAGGGGCTAGGCTCATTCCTACCTTATGCCTAAGGTGGAACTCAAGACTTTTTAATCTCACTACCACAGTAACTTTTTAGGATGGGGGACTAGCCACTTATTTTTATGGGATTTGAGTGTTGTGATCACTCCTAAGTCCTCTGCTATGTCTTGGCCCTTTTCAGGCAGAGATGCTATACAAAAACAACCCTAAACTATTGACCCAGCTGCACTATTGTGAGAACATGGGCATTCCACTGGTAGTCATTATTGGTGAGCAAGAACTGAGGGAAGGTATCCTCAAGCTTCGTTCAGTGACCAGCAGAGAGGAGGTGAGTGGGGACAGTCAAGAATAAGAGAGACCAAATGTTCCTAACTTTCCCAGATTCTTTATGAAACATGTATCTTTTGGCTGAGGAGATCTTTTCAGGGTTAGTGTTGACAGAGATAAATGAAGACCCACTCCAGATACCCATTACAGCCAGGTGGGTATTGGTTGAGTGGGCAGAGCAGGGCAAATGAAAATCTTTATGGTTGTTTTGAGACTAAGTCAACAGGATAGACATAGATAGGTGTTTGACTCCCTTTATCCTTGAGGACGTACTTTCTCCAGAACAGCGTAAACCACACACTACTCCCTACTGACTATGTAAACAGTGGTAGCAGATGCAGGGTAAAATGAATCTGGACAACAATGGATAAGGAGCTAGTATTCCCCCCCCCCTTTTTTTAATAATTATTTTATTGGGGGCTAGCAGATGGTATAGCAATTACATCACTAGACTGCCACATGGCTGACTATGGTTCAAGTCCCAGATCCAGTGGCTGAAAACTGACACTAGGAAAAAAGGGGGGCTGTGGGACCAGCAGGTGATGTGGTGGTTAAGGGTGCTGGCCTCCCATATGGCCCACCATGGTTTGAGTCCTGGACCGAGTGGCTTGCTTTCTCACTTTAGCTCTCTCTCTCTGGTAAAATTAAAATAAGCAAATAAAGTTAAATAAAATAATTACTAAAAAAAAAAGTAAACTTGGACCAGCAGTTGGCATAATGGCTATATCGCTGGACTCCCCTGTAGCCGGCCGTGGTTTGAATCCTGGACCTGGTGGCTTAAGCTCCAGCTGGGTGCATGTGCGTGTGTGCCCAAGATCCCAAGAGAATAATGGAGGAAAAGGGATTGCAGTGTGACTATCCCCCTGGGGGGGTGATTTCTTGCTTTCTGTCTCTGCCTCTCTCTGTCTTTCCGTTGAGCACATCCACCCTATAGCAAAAACCTCTCCAAAACAAAACAAAACAAAACAAAACAAAACAAGTCATGCTAGGTATGTGTGCACCTGTGTCCAAGATCCCAGGAGAAGGGAGAATGGATTACAGTGTGGCCATCCCCTAGGGGGGGTGATTTCTCACTTTCCCTCTTACTGTCTCTGTCTCTCTAGTGAGTGCATGGACCCTAAGTCAAAGCCTCTAAAAAAAAATATTCATTTGGGGCCAGTAGGTAGCGTAGTGATTAAGGCGCTGGACTCCCACATAGCAGATTGTGGTTTGAGTCCCGGACCTAGCAGCTTGAAGTTCACGCTGGACACATGTGCATGCACACCCAGGACCCCAAGAGGAGAGGGGAATTGGGATGTGGCGATACCCCCAGTGGGGTGATTTCTCACTTTCTGTTTCTCTGTTCCTCTGGCGAACCCATGTGCTCTATGGCAAAAAAAAATCTCTCAAAAATTTTATTTAATTTTTATTTATTATTATTAATATTATCATTTCTTTAGAATTTACTATAGGGCATGTGCGCTCACCAGCGAGAGGGAGAGGGAAAGTGAGAAAGCAAGCCGCCATGTCTGGGGCTTGAACTGTTGTTGGCCTTGTGGGAATCTAGCTCCTTAACTACTACATCACCTGTTGGCCTCGGTGTCACTTTCTAGATCATCATGTAACCATTGTCTTTTGTTTCAGGTGGCCATTAAACGGGAACATCTTGTGGCTGAAATTCAGAAGCGACTGAAATCTGAGTCTTGATCCTTGCCCAACTGCCAGCTGCTGCTCTTTCTAGACAAAGTTTTATGTAAAACTGAGTTCCATGTGGACTTTACAACAGCTGGCCAAGATGGATGACAAGTACCTTCTACCTCCTCCATCTGTCCTGGGTAGAGAACTGTCAAAGGCCCTGAGGACTCCTGCACTAGTGTAAGCAGCTGTTCTGTGTGGGTGCAGAGGGCTGTTGTGTGGAAGAGACACACTGTAGTTGCAGGGCAAACCTGAAGTGCCCTGAATGCATCCAGGAGGTGTTGAGATGGTTGCTATGATCAAGGATCTGGAAGAATCATCTCAGGCTGAGAATTCTGAACCATTGAGATCAGAAGCCAATACTTAGCCTTCTATTGTATCTTTGGAACCAAGTTCTGGGGACTTTGTTTGCAGCCAGCCCTTGCCCTGTCCAGGGAGTTGTGCTACAGCAAGGAGGAACAAAAGATTCTCTCTGATTTGAGGACAGAGATGCTATTTCAAGGGCACGGCAGTCCTCATGTTGATATGACATCTCTCCAGTCCATCCACTGTTAACAATAGCAGTGTGGGGTTGACTGTTTTAATAATCTTGAAAGTTGAACTTAATAGGTGACTTGACAAAATGGAGATCTGGTCTTTTGAGATTTTGGAGACTATTCCTGTGCCCAAGACACTGATCTGACTGTAGTATGCTTGACTATGGAGGCTATTCTAAAAGTGATTGGATAATATATGAAATAAAATACTAAGTGTTGTATTTTGGGTAATTTGATTTCAGGGGATTGGTTTGCTTGAGCCATGGTAAATTCTTGAGTGTATAATGGAGAATTCTGAGGGCTTGAAGTAACATCCTGGGGGTGATGCTTCTGTGTTTAGTGAAAGAAGCAGCCACAACCCCTTTTCTTTTCCTCTTCCCCCCAACCTGGAGATACAGTTGTGTTGTTAAAAATCAGCATATAGTGAGTCATCTGCCAGAGTGCATTTCTCAAGAATACTGCTGAAGACTGACCTTAAGTGTAATCATGTTGATCGAATTCTGCCCTAATTGTGCCCTACTGACTATAGTGTTCCCCAGTTGAAGGAAAAATGAGTCAGCCAAAGGGTGATAACTTTGCTTCAAGAAAGAGTCTAAGTACAAGAAGTACTTTTCCATATGTATATTGGGAAGGGTGCGGCAGTTGTAAGAGCTTTGGTGTAGTTTAGGGCCTATCCCTAGAGTGTAGGTGAAGAGAACACCCAGATAACTTAATAGTTAAGCCTTAAAGTAGGTTTGGAAACTTGACAGTGCACATAGAGTTGATTAGACTTAATCAGAGGGCATTGTCTCCAAAAATCAATGTCCTCGTTTGTAAAAGAGACGAGTTTGACGGTGAAGAGGACACCCAGAGCACTTAATAGCAGTTAAGCCTTAAAGTAGGTTTGGAAACTTGACAGTGCACATAGAGTTGATTAGACTTGATCAGAGGGCATTGTCTCCAAAAATCAATGTCCTCGTTTGTAAAAGAGACGAGTTTGACTAAATCCGTCAGACCAACGACGTTTGTTTTGAAAAGCCAGAGTAGAAAGCGTTTGCAGGCGCCCTTACTTCCGTGTTGCTTCATGCTCACTTTGCGCCTGCGCCATTTCCTTGGGACAGAGGCGGAGCTAAGAAGCCTGTTTTAGACGCCCTCCAATCCTTGGCTCGTTTAGAACACGGACCTCTACGCTTATTGGGAGTTCATCTTGCCTTACGGCTCTAGGGCGCTTTTTACGGCATTTTCCGGCCTCCCATTCACTTCGCTGTGAAGATGGCGTCGGGCAGCGGGGTAGGTGTTGTGTGTGAGGAAGAGGTTTAGGTGGGTGGGGGTGGCTTTTCAGCGCCGAATAAAGATTCCTGCTTTCTACTGGCTTCCCGACACCTTCTCGTGATCGTAGGGGCCGGGTACAAGAACTCCCCTGTGAGGTTCTGGCGCAGGGTCACGGAGGTCTCGAGTTGGGGTCCCGAGACAGAGACAGTCAGTCTCAGCCTCCCGGTGCGGTCCAGTGCGGCTTCGCCTGCGTAAAGGTCGTGAGGCTGCCTTAGCGGCGAGGACGCGGTTCTCTGTTTCGCTAAGGGTCTGGACACGATTGGCAACGGATCTTGAGCGCTTTTTCCCCCTACAGACAAAAAACTTGGACTTTCGCCGAAAGTGGGACAAAGATGAATACGAGAAGCTCGCCGAGAAGAGGCTTACAGAAGAGAGAGAAAAGAAGGATGGTGAGTGCCGGCTCCGTTAGCGGCTAAGAGTTTCAGAGAGGTGATGGAATGGCCGGAGAGCTGGTCGGAGTTTGAAATGCGTTGGCTTCCCACCCAGTGTGGTCTGTGTGATCTCTGGCGGCATGTTGCCTCCCTGGTCCTCGGATTCTTCATGTGTAAAATTAAGAGTGAGGAGGTGGACTGAAATAGTTTTGAAGTGCTCATCAGCTCTGTTCTCTGCTTCTTTGTCCTTCCTTTCCTTGGCTCATTCACTGTTTTCTTGAAGTACAAAGTAAAGAATGGAATCCTTAGTAGCGACAGAGAAATTAGGTCCAACATTGTGCTGCTGCCCATTACTGCTGTGGTTGATGCTCTCATTATCTTAAAAATTCCCTAAAGGGGAGAGCATTCCTGGCCCAATCAAGACCTTCTTCTGTAGTCTGAGAAAAGCAGGGGTACTCAACTAGGAATGTGTGATTGCTTCACCTAGTGCTTAATAGTGTTTCTGCCTTTTGCAACGTCAAGGAGTTGATGCTTCTCTTCTAGACGTTCAACTTCACAACAATATCTTATTTTCTCATCTATTTTCAAACTTGTACATTGTTCTGCTTTACCTAAGCACCATTTTGCACACACTAGCTCTTTTAAAAAGTTTTCACGTACCATGTATAATAAATAGTGCTTGGCATGTAACAGGCATGCCCTGAATATTGGTCACCTTTTAAACATTTGACTCAGATCTCAAGAGGTTTTTTCTGTGTTACACTTATGATATTGACCTGAAAGCATTTCTGAGTGTCCTTGCTCTTCCTTTGAAAAGGACCAGTAGATGGTGTAATGGTTATGTCACTGGACTCCCACATAGTTCGAGTCCTGGACTGGGTGGCTTAAAACTCACATCAGGCATGTGTGCATACATGTCCAAGATCCTAAGAGGATAATGGAGGAGAAGGGATTTCGGCATGGCCAACACCCCTGGGGAGGTGATGTCTTGCTTTCTGTCTCTCTTTCCTGTGAGCGCACGCACCCTATAGCAAAAATCTCTCTTAAAAAAATAAAAGGTTGGGGACCAGCAGTTTGCGTAATGGCTATGTCGCTGAACTCCCACGTAGTCTACCGCGGTTCAAGTCCTGGACCCGGTGGCTTAAACTCACGCTGGGCGCATGTGCGTGCGCTTGCCCAAGATCCCGAGAGGAGAATGGAGGAGAAGGGATTACGGCGTGGCCATCCCCCCCCGGGGGTGATTTCTCACTTTCTGTCTCTCTGTCTGTCTCTGTCTTGCTGGTGAGCGCACGCACCCTATAGCAAAAACCTCTCAAAAAAGAAATAAATAAATAAAAGGTGGGTTCCAGTAAAAATTCAGAAGTGTTTCCCTCAGTTCAGTTAATCAGTGAGTAGAAAACATTGCTTTTAGACTTGTTGGCTTTAAAGTGAAGAAAAGCAGGGCCAGCAGGTGACTTAGTGATTAAGGCACTGGACTCCCACATGGCTGACTGCAGTTTGAATCCTGAATCCAGTGGTTTGAAACTCACACCAGGCACTTGTGCGTGTGTGCCATGTGCCCAAAATCCCAAGAAGAGAATAGAGGAGAAGGGATTGGTGTGGCCATCCCTTCGGGGGCTGATTTCTTACTTTCTGTGGTGAGCGCACACACCCTATAGCAAACATCTCTCCAAAAAGACATTTAAAACGTGGAGAAAAACTGTAGTGTTGGGGATTGCTTACAGTTTTTTCCTGTGTTCAGATTCTCCCTAGCTGCTACAAACTGCTTGAAGTGCTTGTTTTGTCCTTTCTTTTAGGAATTGAAAAACACATGAGAATAGATCCCTAAATTTTGAGTTTCATGCATTTCTTTGCCTTTCTGGTTGAAGAACTGTAATAATGAGGGACTTCCTTCCCCATTATGTTTCAGGAAAACCTGTACAGCCAGTCAAGCGGGAGCTTTTGCGGCACAGGGACTACAAAGTGGACCTGGAATCCAAGCTTGGGAAGACAATTGTCATTACCAAGACCACCCCACAGTCAGAGATGGGAGGGTAAGTGACTTTTCATTTTTCTCTTTAGCCAAGAGAGGGTCTAATAAATCATCTTTGTTGATTTTAGGAAGTGTGGAGGAGGGTCCCTGACCTTAGGATAGCAACCTTCTGGTGGTAATTCCATTTTCAGATTATTTTCTTTGTCCCTGGGGGTCTCAAGTTAACATAATAGTGTCTCTAGGAGAGGTCATTGTGGGCTTCTTCATAATATCACTTTACTACTTTTTAAAACCCTGAAAGGAAGAATGTAAGGGGAAGACTTCTCAGGAGATTTCTACGGAAAGGATTAGGTTGAGCTCAAATGAAGCTTACGAGTTATTAGTGGTGAAGAAAGGGGCAAGGGTTCCCAACTACGAAGGCCTGGTTGTGCAGTTTCTTTCTAGACCAACACTAACATATAGTAAAGGATCTCAAATGAGCTCTGCACCCTTTTGCCCACCACTATTTCTCTGACCTGTTAGATTTTCTGGCAGGAGGGCAACACAGAGTGATACTTCTCTAAGCTGCTTATTAATAAACCACTGTCATCATTCCTTTCAGTATTAGATATCTATTGCTGTGTAAATTAATAAATTAACACTATGTTTAGCAGCATAAAACAATGAATAGCTTAGTTTTTGTGAGTGGTAAATTGAAGTGGTTTACCTAGATCCTGATCAGGGTCTCCCGTGAAGCTGCAGTCAAGGAATCAGCTGGGTCTGCATTCACCTGAGGCTTAATTAGGGCTGGAGTGTTTGCTTCTAAGCTCTCTCACATATCTGTAGTTTGGAAGCCTAAGTTCTTGATCCCATGAGCCTCTCCATAGAGCTTGCTTATACAAAGCAACAAGCTTCCCCAGAGTAGGTGATCGACACTCTCACAGAAACCATGATTTTTTTTTATAACCTTACTTTGAAAGTGACATACCATCTTTTCATATAAAAAAGTATTTGATTTTATTTGTTTATTATTCTTCAATTTGACCAGAAAGAGAGAGAGGGAGAGTGAGAAAACAAGCTTGTCAGGCCCAGGACTCAAACCATGGTCAGCCATGTGAGAGTCCAGCGCCTTATGTACCATGCAACCTGCCAGCCCCAGCATACCATTGTTTTTGACATACCCCACTGGTTTTACAGACTGATTTTTAAAAAAAAAATATTTTATTTTATTTATTCATTTAATTTGAGCAGAGAGCGACAGAGACAGAGAGAAAGTGAGAAAGAAAGCCACCAGGTCCAAGACTCCACCGTGGTTGGCCATTGTCGGAGGGTCCAGCACCTTAACTACCACGCCACCTGCTGGTCCCCAAATAATATCTTAGGGTTTCTGTCAAATTTGACCTTGAAGACCTCTTTTTTCTTTAAGAATAATTTATTTATTCATTCATTTATTTTAATTTGATCAGAGAGAGACACACACAGAGAGAGAGGGAAAGTGAGAAAGCAAGCCATCAGGTCCGGGACTCTAACCGTGGTCAAGCGCCTTAACCCCCACGCCACGCTGGTCTCCAAATAATATCTTAATGTTACTGTTGAATTTGATCTTGTGGACCTCTTTTTTTTTTTTTACTTATTATTTACTTATTTTACTTATTCATTCATTTATTTTAATTTGACCAGAGAGACACACACAGAGAAAGAGGGAAAGTGAGAAAGCAAGCCACCAGGTCCGGGACTCAAACTGTGCTACCACATGACCTGCTGGATCCCAGACTAACTATTATAAATTAGGAGGAGACGACACAGAGTCAGAGTGTCAGGAAGGTTGGGCTTATTGAGCCCATCTTAGAGGATGGCTCCCATACTCTACCAAGAGCTAAGCCTTTATGAAAATGAAGGCTTAAAACTTATAAAAAGTTGAGGCCAGCAGGTAGTGTGGTGGTTAAAGGTGCTGGACTCCCACATGGCCTACTGTGGTTCAAGTCCCAGACCTGGTAGCTTGCTTTCTCACTATCTCTGATAAAACTGGAAAATAATAATAATGAAAAATAAAGTTAAATAATTAAAAAAAAAACTTATAAAAAGTTTAGATATTTGAATTTTTTGGTTGAAAACAATAAGATCCTTAAAACGAGATTTAACCCATGTGCTGTTTCCTCTTGTTTGCTAGTTATTACTGCAATGTTTGTGACTGTGTGGTGAAGGACTCCATCAACTTTTTGGATCACATTAATGGAAAGAAACGTAAGGCTTGGAGGTAGTTTGTAATGGACTGGGAGTGGGTTTGGGAGGTGGGATGGAGAAGGGTGGTTTCTATAGACACCCCTTTTTGATACCTGGGAAATTGTCCAGTTGCTTCAGCATATGCCATCTTTCACCTCATTTTCATTACCTCATTATTTCTGGAGCCCATAAGGTGAAAGATTAGGTCATTGGGAAAGTCATGACGTGTTTTTCTATGGAAAAATGCATCATGGGACCAGCAGTTGGCGTAATGGCTATGTTGCTAGACTCCCATGTAGTTGACTGTGGTTCAAATCCCGGACCCGGTGGCTTAAAACTCATGCCGGGCATGTGTGCGTGCTTGCCCAAGATCCCAAGAGGAGAATGAAGGAGAAGGGATTGCAGCATGGCCGTCTTCCCTGGGGGGTGATTTCTCGCTTTCTGTCTCTCTGTGTCTCTCTGGCGAGCACACGTGCCCTATAGCAAAAACCTCTTAAAAAAAAAAAAAAAAGCATCATGACTTTCCTATTGTGACCCAATATTTTCTAGGCTCTCAACCGCCCAAACCATGGTCTTTTCTTGGGCCCAGGTGGCCTCACTGGTACTCATCTGCTCAGTAGGGTTAGTTGAAAGTCATGTGCATCTTGTTATCTGGGGCTGCTGATTCTGGGAACAGGTGAGGCCAAGAGACTTTCTCTTATTGCTAAATGGCTTATGAGAAGATCTTTTTAAAGTCAAGAAAAGGGTACCGGGAAGGTGTTGCAGTGGTAACACAAAAGGACCCACGTGGGAGAGGTCCTCAGTTTACTTCCTAGAACCTCAGTGAGCACATCAGGTGTGTGTACACATCCATGATTCTGGGCTATTGAGACTGGGGATAGATTGTGGCATGAAGACCCTGTTGGGGGTCTAAGAAATAAATAAAAAGTAGACTTTTTAAAAAGTCAGAAAGGGATCAGCAGTTGGCCTAATGTTTACATCACTGTACTTCCATGTTGTCAACTGTAGTTTGAGTCCTGCACCCAGCAGCTTAAACTTAATGCTGGGTGATGTGCATGTGTGCCCAAAATCCTGAGGAGAATGGAAGAGAAGGGATTGCGGCATGGCCATCCCCCCAGGGGTGATTTCTTGCTTTTTGTCTCTGTCTCTCTGGCGAGCACAGGTGCCCTATGACAAAACTCTCTCTCTCAATAAAAGAAAAAAGTAAGAAAAAGACTTAGAGGGCTAAGGATGTTTTAATGACCTTGCGGTGTCTTCACTGTGACCCCACTCAGATCAACGAAACCTGGGCATGTCTATGCGTGTTGAACGTTCTACACTGGATCAGGTGAAGAAACGTTTTGAAGTCAACAAGAAGAAGATGGAAGAGAAACAAAAGGATTATGATTTTGAGGAAAGGATGAAGGAGCTCAGAGAAGAGGTAAGGCACTTCTATCCTGCACATCCACCCAGGTTTTAATTGTACGTTGTGAATTATGGAAGGCCCTTTTCCTCATCCCACTCCTACCCATAGAGTTTTAACCATCTGAATTTCTGTATTTTAAGAGAAACATTTGTTGTCCTTGTTTGAGACTCTTAATAATTTGAAGGAAATTACTGTAAACATACCCTTTTTCTGGAAACTATCTGGGTCACTTTTTTTTCCCTTCGATGGCTTTCTTTCTTTCTTTTTCTTCCTTTTTTTTATTTTTTAAGGATTATTTGCGGGGCCAGCCAGTGGCATGGTGGTTAAGGGTTCTGGATGCCCACATGGCAGACCACAGTTTGAGTCCTAGACCTGGTGACTTGCTTTTGTCCCCCCCCCACCTCTCTCTGGTCAAATTAAAAATAAAAAAATAAAGTTAAATAAAATAATTCTTTTAAAAAAAAGATTCTTTGGTTGGAAAAGTCATGTTACATTTTTGCATTAAAACAAAAAAATATGTCATGACTTTTCTGACAACCCAAAATTTATTTAATTTTATTTATCATTATTATCATTTTTAAATTTTCTATAGGGCATGCATACTTACCAGAGAGAAAGGGGCAGGTGAGGAGAGAGAGAAAGTAAGCCGCCAGGTCCAGGACTTGAACCTCTGTTGACCATGTGGGCAGTCCAGCACCTTAACCACTATGCCATTTGCTGGTCCTTCATTTAATTTTTTTTTTTTTTTTTTGGGGGGGGAGAGGTTTTTGCTATAGGGCACATGCGCTCACCAGAAAGACAGAGAGAGAGAGAGACAGAAAGTGAGAAATCACGCCCCAGGGGGGATGGCCATGCCACAGCAATCCCTTCTCCTCCATTCTCCTCTCGGGATCTTGGGCATACACACACACACGCCTGGCGTGGTCGACTATGTGGGAGTCCAGTGACATATAGCCATTATGCCAATTGCTGGTATGCTATTTAAAATTTCTTTAAAGACTTAATTTTTTGGATCAGTTTTAGGTTCACAGCAAAATTTAGAGGAAGAGATTTCCTGTTTGCCTTCTATCCCCTTTCATGTATAGACTCCTCCATACTTTTTTATTTTAACCACAGCAGAGATGAACTAAATGCACCTTGTTCCTAAGAGGGCCATGGAACCAGGCTGACTAGGTCAGAATTCTGTTTTCCCCACTTACTGGCTGAATCTTGAGCAAATTGTATAACCTCTCTGTGCAATAGTTTGCCCATACGAGCAATCTTAGTGTAGTATGTATAAAGTGCTCAGAACAGTTACTGGCATGTATGGCATGTCTCAGTACGTTAGTTACTGTTATATGGTGGTATTCTTATAACCCTGTTAGGAACTCCAGATGAACTGAGTTGTAGAGTGGAGAAGAACTCTCCAGAGGCTAAAACCTCTATTTCTTGTTTTTTACAGTCTTTATACTGTGGCTTGTATCCCTGCCCTTGAGATTTTACTTGTCTTTAACTACTTTTTCCTAATGATAGAAAGGGACCTTAAAGCTCACATGTCTTTTTTGACAGCATTCAGCTCAGCAGTCTGAATTAATTCTGAATGATTTCTCTCTCCTCACCTGCAGGAGGAAAAGGCCAAAGCATACAAAAAAGAGAAACAGAAGGAGAAGAAAAGGAGGGCTGAGGAGGACTTAACATTTGAGGAAGATGATGAGATGGCAGCTGTGATGGGCTTCTCTGGCTTTGGTTCTACCAAGAAGAGTTACTGAAGATTTCTTTGCTTGGCCTAACTTTGGCCTATGTTGGACCTAACTTTGTGCGTGTTGAGGGCGGTGGTGGGGAGGCATTTCTTTTTGGGTACTGGGAAAGGTCCTTAAGAGTGTCATTGGGGAGGGCTAGAGGGTGGGCATTGGTTGATTTTCCTCTACCTTGGGAGAGGGCATAGGATGCAGAGGTAGTATGGCGTATTCCTTCAGCCTCGGTCTACCACTGGAGTCACAGGACCTCTGCCCATCTGAGTTCCCAATAAAGAAAAACCTCCCCTTCTGAGCTTTCCCGAAACTTCCCCTGCATCTTTCCCTCTTCATCTCTCCAACCTTTGTTTCAGTATCCTACCTTTATCCTATGTTCTGCCTTTAATTTTGACTCTTGTTCAGCCTGCAACAGAAGGGTTCTCTGGGTCCCTCGGTTTCCAGTTGATTGCGTATCCTTGGCCAGCCCCTCCTCCCGCCCAACTCCTGGTTCTCTAGCCAACTGTGCATGCATGTGTACTTCTGCCTGGGTCAGTGGTGTGTATGGATGTGTGTGCATGAATCTGTCACATAGAGGGGCTGGAGCTAGACTCTCAGAGCATTGCTGCCCTGGGGTGTGATGTTCTCAGCTTCTTCAGAGCATGTAACAGGAAATTAAATGGGATGAGTGTTTGGTGTGGTTTGTGTCTGGTAAGTTTTTTTTAACATTGTTCAGATACAGACTACTTCAGCTTCTGCTAGTTTCATTTTACTGAAGATTTTTCTTTTTGTCATCCTTTTGAGAAAGGTTTTGGAGTAACCTGATGAAACAAAACAAAAAACCCCCAAAACTTCACTATGGAATCTCTTAGTCTCGGGCTGCTGACATACATAATAAATGGCGTTGATTAGGGCCTGTTTCACATTTAGTGGGAACATTCCATTTTATTCCCTATGTATATATGTTTTTCCTTCCCATACTGAGGATTTCTGTATAGAGCTTTTTTCTTCTCCCTTCAGTTGTCTTTTTATTTTTGCCTAAATTTCTTTTTTTTTAAAGAATTATTTTATTTAACTTTATTCACTCATTTATTTACTTTCATTTTGACCAGAGAGGGATAGAGTGAGAGGGAGAGAGAAAGTGAGAAAGCAAGCCACTAGGTCTGGGACTTGAACTGTGGTCAGACATATGGAGTCCTGTGCCTTTAACTTCCATGCCACCTGGCAGCTTCCTATTTTTGCCTGTTTCTTAAGTGAGAGTTTTATTTTTCTGTGATGTGAGATCTGAATTTAGAAGAGTAAAGAGTAAAGCTGCTTCTTTAATTTCAGCCTCCTTTGATCCTCCTTTTAGGGGAACCACATACCTCAAGGTTAAATTCAATGTTTTTCTTTTTTTGGAGAGATATTTGCTGTCGGGCATGTGTGCTGACTAGAAACAGACAAAATGAATCAGCCCCCAGGGGACATGGCTGTGCCAAAATTTCCTCTCCATTCTCTCAAGATCTTGGGCACACATGCACACGCATGCATGCCCTGCATGAGTTTCAAGCTGCCGGGTCCTAGACTCAAACCATGGTTGGCCATGTGGTAGTCCAGTGCCTTAACCACTACACTACCTGCTGGCCCCAACTTTAGTGTTTTTCTTATTCACACTTGAGCTAGTCATACACAGGGTTACCCCGTCTTGTCTCTATTAGCATTTGGGGCCAGATAATTATTTGTTGTGAGGGGGACTGCTGTGAATAGTAGGGTGTTTA